TAATAATAATCAATAAAAATCAATAAAAAATAACTATTTGTATCTATAAAATATGATAATGGGAACTTTGAATGTGTTTAAAGAGCAGAATTTCCCTTTTAGGTGTAACAGGAACTGTTAAAGTTCTCGTGACTTTATCTCTGCTTTAAAGTTGTAAAAATCTTTCAGTCACTCCCCTCTGGACTCTTTATCACATTAAAATCTTCAGAACTAATCAAGAACTGTATGAGTGAATATGTATCTTCGGTACAATTTCAAATAAAACTGTTTTAAGTTAAATTTGTGTTTTATTTAATTAAATCAATCTCCTGTTGTCAATCATTGTATAAAATCATTTTGACAAGAAATGAAATGAACAGTAAAGCTAAATTCAGAATACCAGACATCAAATCTCTTTGTCTTCTTTCTTTAAATAATGTTAAATTAATGACATACCTGAAATAAAAATACACTTGTCCTTTGGATCCTGAACACATAGGCACCAAATTAAATAACAAAAAGCAAATTGCTACATGTTCCAGTTTCTCCTTGGCCTCTTCCGTCTTAAATAAAAACAGTCCAGGCCCTTGTTTGCACCCTGTAAAGATGACCAGTTTAGTTCCAGATGAGGCCTCTGGCTTGATGAAAGACAAAGTGCCTGACAGGTGAAGGCATCATGAAGGTTAAAGAAGCACCTTTAGACGAAGTCTGGAAAGGCTCGGAGTCTTCCAGATCAGAGTCTGCATGAACAAACAGCGCAGCGATCTTTGGATCTGAAGGGTGAGTCAGAGCAGAGGTAGACAGGCTGTAAAACAATAAATGTGCATGGCTGCAGCCAATCACAGATATTATTACAGTCACGGTGGGTGACACACCTTGGTGAGAGTGCACATGTACAAACATTTGCAGCAACTGCTCCAGTTCAGTTCACTGTAAATGTTCAGTTTGTTAGAAACTGAGTATTTGTTGCACTGTTAGAGGAGAAATGTGTTTGCAAAGATTCAAAATTTCTAATTGAATATTTCAGATGAAATGTTTGGGACAGTTACAATGTTTCATTGCATCAATCTCCACCCTCTTCATTTTTCAACTTCACTCATGTAGGGTTTTTGGGACACAGGTGTGTTACGGCGGGAACAATTATACATCTGTTTGCTGTGGCCACCTGGGCTCCAATTTTACTGTACACCTTAGACATTTACTCATAACCTCATAACATTTACACATAGGAACTTGGGAGTGGGCACTTATGCATGTAAGGGGCGGGATGGGACAGTCTCGCCACTGATGCCTGTGCCCACTCACATTATTTTCTTTTAGACATTTAGGGTTAGGGTTGGAGCAGGGGTGGAGGGGAAACTGGCATAGTGCTGGCCTCTGCCCTGTCTTCCCCATTTTAATTGCGTTGTAGAACATCACACATCAACAGTACATCTGAGGGTGGCGGTGTGTGTGTGTCGGGGTCTTTTTTACTCCCCCGTTCCCCGATGGCCGTCTGGGGCTGGGGTCCTGGGGTGCGGG